GTGAAATTTAGTTCGCTGTGTCCGAGGCGTGTTGAACGTTGTCCTCTATAAATGCAATATATATATACTAAGGGCAGCCCCAATAGGCAATTTGATATCTGTAACATCAAGGAGATGCGCATTCTCGGGAGGGTAATCAGTGAATAAATAAAAAAGAGCAAACAAAACTGATAAATTTTAACAGGAATCAATTTCAGGAGATTAATATTTTTGCGAAGTTTTTCTGTGGACACTTTTCGATAAAAGAGCAGAGCGTGACCTAACCTTCTTGTGCAAGCTAGTAAATGAATCGTAACAAATATACTAGAATGCTTTCAGCTTACGAAGAAATTCATGTCCCACCTCGTTCGACTAGAAATCATTGTACCTTTTATGCTTACACCTTACATTTTTCATCAGTTTTAATGCTCATTCACTCACTTTTTAAACCTATAGATAAATCAAGGAGAGACTTATTTCGCTACTTCACTAATTTCAGAAAGCAAGGGGAAAGGCTTCGGAAATTGAGAGTTCCTTAGGTTCCTGACCTCTTTATCGTATGTTTTGCTCTCTTTCTTTCGTTTTTTCTTTTCATGTGGCCTATTTGGGCTCAAAAGGGAAGACCTTCCGGTAGTTTTTGAGCACGCAAAAGTAAATATTATTATTATTGTTATTATTATTATTATTATTATGAAGATTAATATTTTCTTTTTTATTTTATATTTGTGTATCCCTGCCTTAGATTTTGTGGTAGTTTAATGACACATATATACTGTAAGCAATATTAAATTTACTCTTTTTTACTTATGTGTAACAGGAAAAATATTTTGTGAGCACTTGATTTTCTGTTTTGTCTCTTCAAGAGTTGCACGCTCGCCCATCAAAGTGGTGTTCTTCATTCAAGTATTAGATGATTTTGATTAACTCGAATCTGTACCTCATTTTGTATGTTCCTGCAATAGAGGATTTTATTAATATCTTTATTAGTATCAATATTAGTATAATTATTAATAATATTTTTCGAGCCCGATGCTCAAACATTGTGCCTTGGAAGATAAAGAAGTTATGATGTGCAGTGGTCTTCTTCTCGCACAGGTGTGAGGATGTCAGGTCAAGGCGGTCACTGGAAGTGCCGCAGTCTTCAGAATGCCTAGCAAGAAGAAAGAGCGGTCTGAAGGGGAGAGATCTGAACGGATCTCTCCCCTTCGTGTAAAAAACATATTTCTTTAGTGAAAATGGACGGACATTTAATGCGCAGTTACCCGCAATGAGAGTCGCCACAATTTAATTAGGGAATTATAGTCTTCACAAGACACTATCACTATCATGTTACATTTTGACGCTGTATGCGCATATAGGCTAAACCGTGGTTCAACATTGACACCAGTGAATCGCGCAACAGTGGTTTGGGTTGCACTTTTGAAAAAGCCGAGCAATCGCTTCATTGTCGACACGAAGGAAAAGACCAGCTGTGCCTGACAAGAAGCCAGTCTCACCTACAATCGAATCTTACTTCATGTAATCAAAAAGTAGTGCAGCTCCTCACTCTTAACACCCCCCCCCCCCCCCCTTGTCATATGACCTTTCTTCATCCGATGATTGGTAACAGTGCAATTCATTGCGTCGGAACGTCCGAGTTTTATTTCAATCTGTCAAATCTGTATTTATGCGGAGGCAAACAACTAAAACATGAAGTATAAACTGAAGGATTGACCAAGACAAAACCAGAGAGTGAGTTTCTACAGAAAAATACAGTTGAGAGTGCCTACCGACAATCTCTCTCGGTCGCTATGTTCAGAATGACCCAAAATATAGCAGGAATGAAACTTAAATAAACATTTAGAAGGGCAGTTCACAAATGCTAGCACCTCCATGCACACGAAGGTGCTCATTTTTACACTGTTCGCAAAGTAACAGAAGGTGCAATGTGAGCCATGTTGTCCCTCTCGAGGGGATTGCCCCTGTTTCCCACCTTCTCCGCGTTCTTTACTTATTGTTTTCAAGCCAAATTCATAAATGACCTCGTATCTTCTTAACGTTTTACAAAGTGCGAGTTCGTGTTACGCACCTTTGTCCCAGATGAGCCTGGACTAAAAAAAAATAAACCAAAGTTTTCCGTGGAAAGTCCAGCCCCGCCCGAGCCTGGCCCATGCACGAAGGCAGTCGATTTTACGGAGCGCTATGCTGAAACGCGTTGTTTTCTAAAGGGTTTCATTCACCAGATTTTTCTGCTCTTCCTCGATTTATTCGAAATTGCCAAAAAACCAAGCGATGTTGTTATTTGTTTATTTAAGAAGTTTATTTACTCTTTCGTTTGCTCGTGGTGAAGGCGGTAGAAGCGAGGAATAGTATATTTTTCATTAACAAAAATGAATACGTCGCGTAGACGTCGTATCTGATTCTCGTTCATTATTGTTTTTGTATTGCGTATGCGAGCAAACGTAAGCAGTGTTTCTTTGTGTTAGCATGGCGTATTCCACACTTCGCTTGTACGAAACTCAAAGTGCGACCTGGATCGACGCATGGCGACGACGCGCATGCCAATCGTGGAGACGCAACGCTAACGTTTTTCCTCCTTTACGCAATACTAAAACTTTATATCATCAAGATTTGTACATCGCACGCTTCACTTGCGAGCATGGAGATATCAAGCAGTGTCCGTGATTTTTTCCCCTCGGCAACAGAACAGCCGCGTCGACGTCGCAGGCGTGTTAAAGCCTTGCGCCACATTCTCGAACAGCTGTCTGCTGAGTTTTGTCTGAGTAACCTGATTGGCTAGATCCATCATGGTTCTTGCCTGAAGGTTCTATTTAAAAGAAGATTATTTCTTGGGAACGCCAAATCGTCGTCGAAGACCTCTGCTTGCCTGGCCGCCGTTCCGAACAAAGGTAAGCGGTTCGTTCGTGCGTTCTACTGTCCTGTAAGGCACGTCGCTTCCAGTTAACCGGACTGCTATAGAAAGCTGAAGTCCAATACCGTTACACGGTTTTTATGGAACCTAAGCATTGCACGGACTTGTTCCAGGAAAAAAAGCTCAGTTTTAAATTACAGTTCAAGCCGTTCGCCTCCTGGTAACGTTAAACGAGCCGGTGTAACTTTGAGTATGCTTACTTTATTGAGCGCATCTAGTGAATGATTTTGAATAAACTTACTACAAACGATGACGTTTAAGCGTGAAGATATACAGGCAGCAGCAATAACAGTTTTGTATTTCTTAAACCCTGTAAAGAAGATGAGGTATTGTACGCAAAAAAAAAAAACAAAGTCTGAATTGTCTCTGGGATGACCTGCGAGTACACCCGGTCAAACGCGTTTTTGATATACTTTCACCCCCCCCCCCCCCCCGGCTCCCATAACCTCTGTTTTCAATATTTATCTGTTGTTTGGGTTGTTTCCTAAGGAAATCCAGGTAACAAAATAATGTTGATAATGCAATTAAGGCAAAGGTGCAAGCGAGCTGGACAAGAATAACGATAATGATTCCTAGAGAGGGGAACAAGGGAGACAATGGACAAACACACCTCCAAGACCGATTTTAAACATGGAAGGAAAAAGACAATATAAGTATAGTTTTAGTAATTTTCCACTAAATTTTTGTTCCTTTGAATCCTGGAGCAATTATTACGGACACATACGTTTTGAAATGGGAAGAATTGACTGGTATACATTCTCAATCGTTTTTTTTTCCTCTGGGAAACGCCGTAAAGTTGTTTAGTTTTGTTAGTTGAAGAAGGGACAACATACCTGATAAAACTTTGACATCATTATGGTGGTACGTAGTTGGCATGCTCGTTGATTCTACGAAAGTGAAGAAAACACCAGGATATGCCTTCAAAAAGTGTTTGTTTCTTTTCTATATGTGCCTCTTCAGTCTTCAGACTGCGACGCGTCAGACTTGCCTTCAAGTAAGTGTTTACATTTATGTTAACGGAGATATAACTATCATGTATGCTACGTCTAGAATATCTCCCTGTAATAGCCCATGGGCCGAGGGTACTAGAAAATAAATAAATAAATATGAAAAAACGAGCTTGTGATCATTCATGCTATTATGCTTTGTAAACTTCATTACGATCGAAGTCGTAAGCAAACTTTATTGCTCATTTACTTTATATTTGAGTCACTGCTTCTTCTCTGTTAAGATTACTGGACATTCGTGAGGTAAGAAGAAGCGTATCATTTTATGTCATCCCCTGGGAGGCGTCCCAGAGCCTCTATTTTTCAACCTATGTTGTGAATCTAAAAGGCATTACTAAATTTCTAACTTAAGATTTTCGAGGAGGGAAAACGTGCTTGTGTCATAAACTTGTTAATGCTGTTAACATTACTTTGTTTAGGTAAGACGCATGGGCAAAAGATGATTAATTTACTGTAAATCAAAGAATACATTGTTTCGTTAGAAAATAAAGCTTCTACGCTCATGTCTGAAATATTGAAATTGTTGTAAAAATAAGAAATGTATTTAAAGTATGTTTATTTTTATTATTCTCAATTTTCCTTTTAGTCATTCAATCTTCCAAGTGTGTGCGGATGTTCACGGAAGTAGGCTTATTGTTAAAAGAGTAATCCAGCAATTGTTTTGCAGTCCAAAACTGCACAGAAAAAAGACAGAAGCAACGTAGGAATGTACGCATGAAGATTCTACATACAATTTTGGAGATGCCGAGTGTTGTATATAAGTTGAGCGTGGCCTTGCCGACGCACTTTCGCGCGTTAGCCAGTTGTCAGGCCGACACATCATCGCTCGCTACTGCCGCCGGCTACGCTCGCGGCTGTTTTCTCGAGGCTCGTTTTTTCTTTTTGTTTCTGGCACAATCTCGCCGATTAAACCTTTATCTTTAGTTTTACGCCAGTCGATCCGTGTCCATCCGCCAAAAAAAAAAAGTCAAATTTGGGGGTTTTACGTGCCAAGCCTACGACTAGTAACGTGAAATACGACTTAAGAATGCGGCAAACACTTCTGTGTTTGCCGGCTGTTAATGGATCAGTTCGCGGTTTCGCGCCATAGATACCTCTTCATATCGGCGCAAGCCATTTTCGGCACTCCGCCAAAACATTCCGCGGGAGGCTGATAACAAGCAAGCAAGACAACATGCATGGTCAGTAAAACAGTCCTCGCCGCCATGTGACTCAGTATTAGTGCAAATAACACAAGGCACAAGTTGGCATAAGTTTGGCAGAAGTTCACGCTCATTAAACTTTGAGAAGGGATTTCTGCAGCTTCTGCTCGGAGCACGTGGAGCGAAAGTTCGCGCTGAGGAGCCCAGATATTCTGGGTTCAATCCCCAACCCTGCCCGTTTCTAACTGAATAAGCATAGTACCGGCGTGCGGTTGTGTATCACTACTGATTGGTGCACAATAAAGACCCCAGGCGAGCGGTTGTACCTCACTATATTGCTCATTTACAGCTGAGGCACTAGACCCCTAGTAAGGCAGACTGACTTGGACACATACTTTTTTTTCGTTTTATATTCAGTGGTAAAAAACGAACGCGTGTTTCATAGATCATTACAGGTATACTGAATCGAAATTTTGAGCTCACAAACCAAGGCTGGAAGGATAGGCGGGAACCTGCAAAACCCCAAAACATAATACTAATAGTGTGTTTTATTTTTCGTCAAAAACTGTATGACGAAGGGATACCGAGGAAAAAAGCTGCATAAACCGCTAGAGATATCACTCATACAGCGATATCTGTAACGGTTCGCCGTACTTTTGGAAAATCAATGTGCGATTGAACACGGCCGATGAGACAGGTCACGTCACGATTTCCATTCCCTCTCTTCCTCGCTACGTCCCGTCGAGCTGGCGAACGGAAGCGAGGAGGAGAGAAGCGAGGCCGCTTCCCCTTATTCTCAAATTCTCCGGGGGGACAATGACGTGAACGACCTCGCCTGAACGCGCCCTTCTTTTTCCAAAAGTGCGACCACCCGTTTGAGATTACCGATGAATCAGGGATGTTTTAGAGTTCGTAGCCTCCCGTTCAACGCTTCTGCGGCCTTATTTTGCGAAATCCAAATTTAAGTTCAGTATCCCTTTAAAGGTATTTTGCAGGGCAAGCTTGGGAAAGGTTGCAGAAGAAATCAAAAAAGGAAAGAGCCTCATGTCGGTAGTATTTTTTGCTGCAAAAACACACAAACCAGGAAAATACCTTTTCTCACAGTAGTGTCAGAGCGAGATACCTAGCTTCAGGCGCTTCGGCATACTTACAAAAGCACCTTAAAGGGGCCCTGCAAGCACTTTTTTACTGGTTTTTAATTTGCAGCGAACCTGAGCGCACTGAACCTAGTAACTTAATTAAACTTTTCTTTTCTCGAATTTCGCTTTATTTTAAAAGTTATAGGCAAATTAAAATTTCAAAAACAGCAAAAAATAACCTCCTTCATGACGTCCTTGGTTGCTTGAGTGGCCGTGAACTAGAGTGAGCTCAGCGAGCGCTCACGTCTGCCGCACTCCGTATCGACGGCGCGAGAGGGCGCCACTAAAGCATGTTCTGGATAGGCTGCATGCAGCGGGCAGCCAGAGCGGCTCTCATTGCATTTGCTGCGCGATTAAACACTAACTCGGCATCACGGTTCTTTGGCCACAAACGACAGCAAACACGGGGTAAATATCAGTTCAGAATGGGAGCCACTTCGTGCTGCCATACCGCGAAACGGCCAAACCGCAAAACAAAGCTGCTCGCCGAAAGCCTTCGGAACGCTCGGAGCCGGTCGGATCCTCCAGTCCGTAAACGACCGCAGCGCCGCCGCGTACATCCGGGACCTTTCCGTGTTGGTGCCTGATCCCACTACTCCTTTCAAGTATGCGCCGCCTTTTCCACCGCTTGGTGGCGGGTATGTCGGCGGGGGTCATTTCTTGTTTCCGTAGTTTATAAACTGCATTTGTTTCTTTCCTGCTTAAAATACTGAACAAAAACTACTTTTATAAATAATTGAAACGGTTCGCGCCACTTATATTTTGTATTTCGACTAAAAATAAGCTTTTATCGGCTCTGACCAGTAGTAAGCCCAGGACCTAAGACGTCACATATCGCGCGCTTTCGGTACCGCGGGTCGCCCTCGTCGGTGGAGGAGGTTTCCGCGTCGCCTGGTTAAAATATGACGCACTGATATTTAGTCACTCTCTCCGTGCCCGCTGGCTTGCCCGAACTCCGAGGGACGTGGAACCCGCATGAAAGGTAGACGCTTAAATATGATTGCAGGGCCCCTTTAACTTACTACCGATAGGTGACACGTTTTGCTTTCCTAACTCAAAATTGGTAATTGAATTCCTAAAAAAAAAAATAACCCTGTAGGATGCTGCGTGTTCAATATTGATGTTGAAGAGTTATATTATGTCCAATGATCAACTCATGAAGACTGTAAAATAATGTATTTGAGAACAAAATGATGAAAAAGGTTCAAGACAAGAAGCGCAATCCTAGCAGAAGAGTTCCTTGAACTTTTGTTATTTAATCTAAAATTCACATTTATCGGCTGGCAGGACAACGTTTATGTACACAAGACGGGCCTTTGCATGGGTTAAGAGGTGGCACCTATGCTTAACAATATATATTCTAGAAATACTCGGCAGGGCCCTTACACATAGATTGGTAGGTAATACAAAACACATTTTTCAAGTATGTAGATGACTACTTGGTCTTCATAGCGAAGGCAGAATTTAGCAGGACGATTGAAGACGCGCTAAGGTCATTCACCGAAGAAGGTTTAGGCCTTCGTTTCACCATTGAGTCTGCAAGGAATACGAAATTAATTTTTTGGATTTTCTAGTGGACGTCAATTAAAAACATGTATGCTGGATGCTCCAATCTCGAACAACGAACACATTATTTGAGGTATTGGTGCTTCAAGGTGAGCGTTCACAAAATCCTGCATCCACAAAATGAAAGTAAGCTTCTCCGCCTGGATCGTGAGGCTCAGAGACTCGAACTTTCCCGACACAGTTATTTGTGATTTTATTCGTTTATTTTGAGAGCCCAACAACGGCCGAAGCCTATGCATTGGTGTACTTGTTAGTAACAGCGTCGATTACATAAAAATACACATAAGAAATGATTGGTCATTTCACGCATTTCTTAAAAAAAAAAGAAAAAATAATTGAATAGTTGCAAAGCATAAATATTATGTGAGTACACGAAGCAAGCACTTCTTCAGTTGAGGTAAGTTATGGTTGAAAATGGCATTGTCATCTGATTCCAGATGGTTGAAATAGTTTTGAATTCGGCCTGAGGGTGACGTGAAATTAGTATAATGGACATAGATGGTGCGATTATAACGAACATTTACGCCGGGCATACATTTGTTAATAGTTTAAACCAGGGAGCTAATTTCGTAATACGAATGTATGTATTTCAACAAGAATACATCTTGTCGGGATGTGAGAAACGAATCCGTAACATCAAAGTCGATCACCCCCAAAACAGCAAATATACAAAGCTAAGAAAGACAAAAAGAATGCACCAGTCACACCATATATTTACCGCCTTTCTCATCGGATAAAGGGAGTCGCCTCGAGAAATGGGGTCAACGTCATATCCTCAGCCCGCAACAAATTCAGCAGGATCGTAACCAAGGTAAAACACGCGCAAACACAAGAAGTCAAACACACAACAATGAATGCCACATTAAGCGCGGCATGAACTTCGTACCTTACAGAGAGGGGAGTCTACGAAATCCAATGCTTTCGCGCACACTCATACATTAGACAAACGGGGAGACGCTTAAACATCCGACTTTAAAAACATCACAGTTCGTTAAAGGGGTTATGACACGAAAATTAAACGGATAGATTATTCTTGAAATGGAATGCTGATAGGCTACTTAGTATATACACCAAGTTACGAAATTTTTAGGGCTCTGATAATTGCAATATTCAATTTACGAATTTTTATAATTTTCATCTGGCGACCAGGCAACACTGCTCAAGTTAGTCACACCATGGTGTCCATAAACCACGTGACCATGAACACTCTCTCATTCTAGGCGCCCCCATGATCGCCCAAGCTCTTCTCGTCGCGGTACGAACAAAACCGCTCAAACAGCTCGGTAAACTGAAAGCTATTCTCGCTCTCGCCCCCCGGCCGGTTGACCTTCCAGCCTGCATGCGCCTGCGAGACATTCCCGGACGACGGTGACCACGGCGAACTCGTCGTCGCTGGAACTCGTCGCCAGCGGGTCGCAGTCAAAATGAACAGCTTCCAACATCTCTTAATTACAATCACTCTCATCGCTGCTGCGATCAATGTCGAACACTTCGACAAGGCGATCGATGCCGTAGACGTAATCGTCACACACCGGATGCTGGAAACGTGGAAGCTTAAACGAGGAAGCTGAGGCTCGATACGCCAAGAGAGCCAAGTCTGTGAGTACGTGCAATTAGACCCCACGCTGGAGGCTGGCTACGTCATCAGCCTCCAGGTCCGCCCGGATCTGCCCCTCCGAGGGGCCCGCATATAAATCGATTTATCCACGAAACTATCGCGCCTTTTTCAAAACAAATTTAGCAGGATTATAGGAACATACAATTGGTCCTAGCAGTATAGTTATGTAATATTTTATTTTTGGCGTATCATAACCCCTTTAAATGCTGGAGCATTCCCCTATTCAGCAATGCATTTGCGTGACTGCGGCTGTTAATCACGTTTCCAAGTCGCAAACATATTGTACAAACACCAAGCTCAGTTGTATAGAAAGATACTTGGTACCTACCATATAGCAAAGAAAAAAACGCCGTGCGGGAACCCACCATCTGTGAACCTTGAAGACTGAGATGGCCTTTTTGGACTCTGGATAACCTCTCACTCGAAGAAACAAGAAACAAGAAGCGACACCACAGTGGAAAAAAAAGAAGACCCTATGCCCGCGTTTTTTCACAATAAGTGTAGCAAAGTGCCAACCGAATTTCCGTTGTGGTGATATTTACCACTGTTACCTTAGAACGAGCGTCGTCATTGTCGTCTGGTCACAGTTCCTAATATATTTGCCAGCTTAGAGTGAAGCTTGAAAGGCCTGCATCTGTTTTGGCAACATGTGAAGTCCTTATTGGACTTTACATTTTGCCTGGCTGCAGAGGCCTTGTCAAGTTAAAACTGTTTTG